AAGCAGGTTTCTCACCCATATTCAATTCCCAGCAACTTCAGCCCCCATCTTAGTTGAAGGACCCCTCCTTTTCAGCCTGTAAGAGCTCTCCCCTCTAGCATCCATCCAGTGATTTCTATGCAAATAGAGCTTCCATTGTTTTTTGTTCCACCGTGCTTAATTTACATAGGAGACAGGTATATAGCTGCACCCCCATACACACACTGACTTAGGGGGCTAGTTCAAGCCAACAGCGAAAGTCCACACCTTGGCTGGCCACAGAGGGAGCTTTTATGAAGGCCTCTCCCCAGCACAGATCCCACTGGGTGATCATCCTATAACTTTGGCCTGCATTCTGTGCCTAATTGTATGAGTTTACATTTGGTCATACTGAAGTGCAAATTATTTGCTGGGGCCCAACTTAATAAGCAATCCAGATCGCTCTATAAGAGTGACCTGTCCTCTTTTATGTTGCCTGACTGGAGCTACCCCCCAAATATAGAAGTCAAACTATGCCTATGGCTATGCACGACAGGTATAATAGGCCAAGGAAGGCTAAGACCCCCCTGGCAGAGCTGCCGCCAGACACCTGGGCCGTGGTGGCCCCGCCTGTGCTCCGCCTCTTCCTGGCCATGCTCCGCCCCTTGCCCCAAATCCACCACCACTTGTCGCTGCCTGGCTGAGTCCCTCCTCTCCTCCACTCCAATCCCCTCTCCCAGAAGTCCCCACTGCTCACTGCGTTCCTTTTCTCCTCCTCCCCGCCTTCCCTGAGACCTGCATCGCCTGCTGCTGCCTGGTGAGTCCCTCCTCTCCTCCACCTCCCTCTTCTGTGAGGCTGCATGCTGCATCCCTCCTCACTCGCCTCTCCCTGGAAGCTGGCAGGGGCTCAGCTCCATCTGGTCACACGGAGCTTGGGGCTCAGGCCAGCTTGTCGCCCAGAGCTCAGGGTGGCCCGGGCCGGGGTGGCTCAGGATGGCTCAGGGCAGCCCGGGGGTCGGGGCAGTTCAGCTGGGGCTCCTCCAATCGCGGGGGCTGGGGGGGCCTTGCAGCTCCAGGGGTTGAGCTGGGGGGGAAGGGTGGGGGCCTCAGGCAGAAGGGGTGGGGCTGGAGGGATAGCCCTCCTGAAGGGGGGTTTCATCTGCTTCTCATGCCTATTGTTTTAAAGTGTGTGGCCCAGCTAAGAAAGGTACAGTTCCTGCCCAGATAGAAGGGTGTGTGTGTGGGGGGGGTTAATTCACATTTTCTTTGAAAAGAAATCACCCAGAGGGCCCTCTCTAGATGAAAATTTGTGTCCTTGTTTGTTCAGTGACACAAACATTGTTTCCCGATCTGGTTCCTGAGCCCTAAATTGAACCATGACCAACATACATACATCTGGGGAGTATCTATATTTGCATTCATCATCATGTGAGTTCACCCCACATGTCAATCAACCTTAGTGATGACATGACCAACAATTCTAGTCTAGACAGGGCCTAGGGTTTAAGGCCATCAGTGCATGCCTGGTTTTGTTTATTTGCACTGTTAGAAACATGTTTTGAAAAGTGTAACTGACTAGAATTGGTTTAGGAATAAGCTGTTCCCTCACCCTTACATATTTCATAGCATCACTACTGCAAAATATCATACTTTACAACTAATGAACAAAATAAAAGCAATATTAGATTATTTCCATTTATTCCTTTGTTGATAGGATGCTAAAGAACAATTATTTTTTCTATTTATAAAGAACAGGTTAGTGCTTTGTATTAGATCAGTAATGATTTTGATTAATGAAACCAATGATTTGTATACTGTAGTAGTTCTATTTAATATTTCAAAGGAGACAGAACAATCTCAAGTTACATACACCGGATTTGGGACCAGATCATCTACTGGTGTTGAGTGGTTTAGCTCTATTGACTTCAATGGAAATACACCAATTTACACCAGTTGAGGATCTGGCCCCCTGAAGGAGATTAGCAGTGCAGTTTCTAATTCCCTCCTCAGTTGTGCCTTCCTTAAACACCCATAAAGCAATTAAAGTTCAACTCTTTGAACCCAGTCATCCCTTTCCTGCTTCTGCTCTTGTTGTTCTTGCTGCTTCTGCAGCTGATGTTTCCCCCACGACAGATTGCTAGCTAAGTGGATGTTCCTTGCTGCTCTCACAGCAGATTTCATAGCAGTGTCGATCCAGGCGTGAGGCTGGGCTGTGTGTTCTCCTGCAAAGTGGACCCTCCCTTCATTCTGAAACAAAGGCCCGGAATAGTCAGCAAACTGGTAGGGGGTGAATGAGGCAAATGCTCCCATGGAATGTTTGTCCAGGTTCCATCTCTGTATCACATGCTTATTACAGACAGACCGGAGATACTTTGTGGATTTGTTGTGGATTTCTGCCAGGTCCTCCAGTACCACATCAATGCACTTCTCATCACTCATGGAAAGAAAGAATTCAGCGTCGTCGTTCCACGTGTAGGAAGCCACAATCACCCCCACCCCACTAGAGAAATTGTGGTTGGGATAGTAGATGAATCTAGAAGGACGATCTGTGACTGATGGCCCACCTCGAATCCCATCCTTCTCCCAGAACTTTTCAGTGCAGGCCAAGGCAACCTTGGTAGCGGTGGCATAGTGAATGGAGCGCAGGGCATGGGTCTTATTGGAGGAAAGTGGTGGCAGAAATTTGATAAGTCTCGTGGCTTTTGCTGTGGCTGTGACAAGGACATAGTCAGCCATCACTGAGGAGGGGCTACATATGTCGTGTGCACTATGGTACAATACTTGGACCTTGTTACCAATGTATTTTATCTGCTCTACTGTGCAGGTCAGCTGGACAACTCCAGGCATAGACCGGTAGAAGGCCAGGGGCAATTGGTCGAATCCCCCTGTGATCTCATCAAAACTGAAAGAAATAAGAGGTGACATGTGAAAGAATTACATTAGCAGCAGTACTACGATTGCTTTTAGGGACAATAAAGTGGGGCCCCCTTGAGGTAGGGTCTGTGTCTGAGACAGATCCTGCCTCAAAGGGTTTATGCTCCAGATAGACAAGACAGACCAAAAAGATTTATTATTGTCATTTTAGAGAAGGGGGATGTCATAGGTTTCACCCCCGCTCTGAACTTTAGGGTACAGATGTGGGGACCTGCATGAAAACCCCTAAGCTTAATTACCAGCTTAGATCAGTATGCTGCCACCACCCAAATCGTCCAACAAAGGGTACATCTACACTGCCAGTGGTAGCAAGACTCCCAGCCCGGGTCGAGAGGCTTGGGGTAGCGGGGTTTGCAGAAGCGCTGTAGAAATAGCTGTGTAGACAGTGCTTTGACGTTGGGGCTTGGGCTAGAATTCAGGCTCTCAAGCCAGCCCATCTCCCGAGGCTACAGAGCCTGAGCTCCAGCCCAAGCTGCAACTTCAGAGCGCTGTCTACACAGCTATTTGTACAGTGCTAGTAAAATCCCCACTAGCCTAAGTCTCTCAGCCTGACCTAGGAGACTCATTGCCATGGGCAACCTACTGGCAATATAGACGTACCCCCAGAGGCCAACAATGGAGGGCCCCATTGTCCTAGGTAAAGTACACACATGTAGAATGAAAAGATGTAGCCATGCCCCAAAGACTTTGCAATTTAAGTACATTCGTTTCTCACCCGTCTTCATGAAAGAAGATATTAAACTCCATGAGAGAATTAAGAAATGACATGTGGAATCCAGCATCCTCATTCATCAAGTCTCCGATCATCTGTACAGCCCCATGGCTTAATTTCCCTTCTTTAATCAAGTACTCCTGGGAGGGGAGGAAAGGGAGTAAAGTTGTTCTCTCTATACGCACAAGAAGTACATTTATGGAGGTATCATTGGGGAAAGATTTGACTTTCATGAGGAAGGAGAAGATAAAGGGTTATTTTCAAGTTTTATATTGTGATGATACTGTTGCCCTTTTTTGGCCTGAGCCATTGCCAATATCCAAGGCCTTGCTTGGTTCTTTCTGTTTGAAAAAGAGATTGAGGATGTGAGTCAGGTCTTTCTTTGGTGCAATCCTGTCTATTTAAAAAGAATGGATACAAAGTCCTGTTTCCCTGAACACAGTAGAAACAGTCAACTGGAGGCAATGTCCCTGCTCAGCAATCGAAGTCTGCATTTGGCTTGAACTAGCCCCCTAAGTCAGTGTGTATATGGGGGTGCAGCTATATACCTGTCTCCTATGTAAATTAAGCATGGTGGAACAAAAAACAATGGAAGCTCTATTTGCATAGAAATCACTGGATGGATGCTAGAGGGGAGAGCTCTTACAGGCTGAAAAGGAGGGGTCCTTCAACTAAGATGCGGGCTGAAGTTGCTGGGAATTGAATATGGGTGAGAAACCTGCTGATCAAAGCATGCATCTTGCTAGATTAAGTTTTAGACTTTTAGAAGCATGTTTTGCTTGTAACTCTTTCTAGCTTTATTCCTTATACTTGAACTCACTTAATCCTATGTCTATTTTGTTAGTAAATTATTTTCATTCATGCCATAAACTGACTCGTTGCTATGTTTAAAGGCAAGGGTGTATTTACGCCCATTTAAGTTAGTAAGCTGTGATGTGCTTTTGTGTCTTCAAAGCAACAAACAAACCTGATTATTTCTCTGAACTATCCGGGAAAGGGCTGGACATTATGGGGCATATGGTTTGGGGGAAATTTGGCACTGGGAGTGTGTTGGAGTCGTCTTGCTGGTTGTAACCAAGCCTGGTGGATGCCAGAGCGTAACTGGTGTGCTGCTAGCAGACGGCTGGG